AAATGTAGATCATAGAACTGTAATTGATAGGTTGTATAAAAATATTGTTTACATCTTTAGAGAAGCTGCTGAAACCAGCTATGAGATAAGAAAGCGTAGTAAACGCAAAGTAGTTGTTGGGTTGAATAGGATCATAACAGAGGTCCATCAGGAGGCACGATGCAGTTTCCATATGTAATTTCTGTATGGTAAGCCCTGCGGGTTATGTATATGACAGTATGCGAGAAGCTGGGAGGTGTTTTAAATCAAAGCTTAAGTCTTTTCAAGACAATGAGAAAAAATTAAAATGGATATTTTGGCTACTCACCACAAAGAAAAAGATTTTAAGAATTTTCGGAAACAAACAAAGAAGCCGGAAACAGCATCATACCTACCTGTGAGTATCGATGGTAAGAGTGAGCCCCGTCATATCGCAGAAATTTTTAGGGAACACATGAAAGTGGAATCTCCATTAGGATCGGTGCTGTGGGTGTTCGATATTAAGGAGAAATCGTACAGTGCATTTGCCAGATTTACTGCGAAAAAAGACACAAATGTCAAAAAAATATGACACGTGGTAAACCACCTGGATATGATGACCTCAGTATTGAGAACCTGCAGTACGCGGAAGTTCATCTGCCTAGGGTATTGACTATGTTCTTTAGTGTGTGTATAAGGCATGAATTTTAACCTCAGAAATTTATGATGACCATAGTGGTACCAGTTCTAAAGAATAATACCGGGGATGCTGCCGACAAGAACAATTATAGACTGATCTCGCTAGCTACTGCGATAGCGAAAGTATTGGATGGTTTGCTTGATCATCAACTAAGTAAACATATACAGGTACATGAGGCGCAGTTTGGGTTTTGACCCGAACTGTTCATTGAAACTGCAAGTCTACGACTCTAGCATACCGTCCAGTATTATATTACAAGAAAATCGCCTGTCTACGCCTGTTTTTCGGACTTGTTGAAGCCATTTGATCTGGTCTCATACAACCTATTATGGGATATGCTTCGGAGGGGAACGAGCACGCCTAGTGAGATAGTCAATATATTAAGGTATTGGTACCACAAACAATCAAATACACAACTTACATGGTGGGAATGCTCATACTTAAGTGAGTATAGGTTAGAGTGTGGTGTGAGACAGGGAGGCTTAACTTCACCGAGGCTCTTTAACCTATATATATATAAATGGATTGATCGATGAGCTTAGCAAAACTGCCGTCGGATGCTCGATAGATGGTAACTTCGTAAACCGTATCAGTTACGCGGACGACATGATGCTGCTGATCCCTTCGATCAGGGCACTCGAGATTTATGTGAGAGATATGCAGAAACCCATGGCTTCAGGTATAAATCCAAAATAAGTGAACTACTTGTTTTCAAGGCAGAGAATAAAGAAGCCCACGCTATCCCACTGTTCAGGTTTGGAGGAGTACCTTTAAGTAGATTCCCCAAATTTAAATACCTGGGGCACTGTGTTACAGGACCTATCTGATGACATGGATATTGAACGAGAAATTAGAGCGTTAGCAGTGAGGTGCAACATGCTGACTCGCGAGTTTTCAAGGTGTACAAAAAAGCTGAAGAAAAAAGAAAACCCTTCTTAAGGCGTGCTGCCAAGCGTTTTACACCTGCAATTTGAAGTAGTGCGGAAGAGAGTGACTCCATGATGTGACGCGTGCGAGATAGTGTCAACGGACTCCTATGTACTGTATTGGGAAGGCTTTATTATCTGGTTACGCGCCACTGGAACACTACATACGTGGTCCAGAGCTTGTTTAATTAAATATAAAATAAGTGTTGTTGTTTTTAGATGTATATTTACTTAATGATTTCTTGTATTTACGCGAACACTACACATTGAAATAATACTAGTTTTTACGGATTTTCACACGTATATTTAACTAGAAATACCCTACGTTTCGAGCGCTTTACAGCACCCATGGTCACGGGGAGGACTGAGATGTTCAACGTCCAAATGTCATAGAAAGATAAAAATTTAACTTTTGTTCCGATCTACACAGTATGAACTTACGGTATCTTGAATTCTTGCAGTTGTATGCTTGGGTTGGGAATTAATTTTATTTATTATAGGATTCCAAGCAGATGGTAGCACCCAGCCATCTTCTCTATTGAAATTAGGATGTTTTTTGATTTTAAATAGCCTCGCGAATCATCCTTGGAAGGAATCGGTGTTATTTAGCGAGAATTTGTGGTCTATCAAATCTGATGTAGTGACGGGGGCGGTCCTGTACGTGTTCACAGACTGCAGACTTCCCGGAGCGTCGATTCTTCACATCAGCTATATGTTCTTTAACGTGGGTTTTAATTGATCTTTTAGTTTATAGAAAAAAGACCCATACAGATAGATATTTAAACGGTGATTCCTACTACCATCCTTCTCAGTTAGCTAAAGTGGGTAAATCTTTGTTTCTGAAAGCACGAGGGATCTGTGACAGTAAACACCTGGCTGCCGAGCTCCACCACGTCAAGCAAGTTTTCCACGACAACAAGCTTCGGGTCCCGCGCCTACGTCACAGTGAACGTCTGAAGCCGGCCACAGTCGACCGTGTACCTGCTGTACTGCCATATGTTAGAGGATTCACTGACAAGATTGTCTACATATTGAAGCGCGCTTCCATCAAAACATACTTCAAGCCGCCGAAGAAGATTGGTCAGTTTTTACCATCTTGATTTGAATGTGGTCTCTCCTACATAGGACAAACTAAAAGATCAATTAAAACCCGCGTTAAAGAACATATAGCTGATGTGAAGAATCGACGCTCCGGGAAGTCTGCAGTCTGTGAACACGTACAGGATCGCCTCCGTCACTGCATCAGATTTGATAGACCACAAATCTTCGCTAAAGTATACCGATTCCTTCCAAGCATGATTCACGACGCTATTAAAATCAAAAAACATCCTAATCTCAATAGAAAAGATGGCTGGGTGCTACCATCTGCTTGGGATCCTATAATAAATAAAATTAAATCCAACCCAAGCATACAACTGCAAGACTTCAAGATACCATAAGTTCATACTGTGTAGATCGGAACAAAAGTTAAATTTTAATCTATGGTAACTGCGGTTAACTATGACATCTGGACGTTGAACATCTCAGTACCCTCCGTGATCATGGGTGCTGTAAAGAGCTCTAAACGTCGGGTATTTAACACCTTCGAAGCCAAACGCGTACAGGATCTAGATTCTAAACGAGAGGAACTTAAAGCCCGACCACCTGCGGCTATACAATATAATTACTGCGACGGTGTTCTCACCTAATGATTTCTTATATTTACGCAAACACTACAAATTGAAATAATACTAGTTTTTACGGAATTTATCGCATATATTTAACTTTTTAATATTTTGTTTTACAAGTTGCCTCCATTTTTGCCGGTAGCTAGCTAGGTACTCCCAAGAGAAGGGCTCGATGTTGGATTTTTTCATGTGCCTCTTTAATACATCGTTATATCTTAGGAGCTGCCCGCCTTGTTTGCGCTTGCCTACTTGAAGCTCAGAGTACATGACGCGTTTTGCCACTCTATTGTCAGCCATCCGAAACACATGACCACACCAACGCAGTTGCCGTTGCATCAGGAGTGCCTCCATACCACATATGTTATTTTGGCGTAGGACTTTCGTGTTCCTGATACGGTCGGGCCAACGTGTACCCACGATATTACGGAGACATTGAATATGGAATCTATTCAGAATTCGTATGTGCCTCCGATACAAACTTCAAGACTCAGCGGAATATAAAAGGTTTGGCAAAACAACTGCCCTATAGATTGCTATCTTAGTGGGTAACCTGAAATCATGTGAACGGAAAACCCTGGATCTCAATTTTCCGAAAGCAGCTGATGTAGCACCGATTCTTCCTTAATTTCAGCTTCAAGGTCACATTTAGATGTTATTACGATTCCCAAGTACTTGAACTTTTCTACACAATTCAGAACGGCTTGATTAAGCTGGATCCACAAAGGTTCAGAATGGGAGCTATCACTTCGGTCTTTGTGACACTGACTTTGAGGCCAAATTTACGGTATGACTCATCAAGACTAGTCATCAATCTTTGGAGAGAATTTGGGGAATCCGTCACAAAGCACAAATCATCCGCGTACGTAATTTTAGTTATTACGTCGCAAGACCCCTTAGTCTGTGCCGCAGTCGATTTAAACTAAAAAGATTGCCATCGGTGCGGAAACGAATACGTATCCCTTCTTGCAGAGTATCTATAGCATCCCTAACCACTACTGCAAAATATAGAGCAAAAAACATTGGCGCCAGGACACAACCTTGCTTGACACCGCAGGTAACGTGAAAAATTCTGTTTGTTAACCATTTACGGAAACGCAGCAGGTCATTTCATCGTGTAGAAGACTCACTACTCGTACATACTTTTCCGGACATCCCAATTTTAAGAAAATTATCCATAACGCTTCACGAGGTATGCTATCAAATGCTTTCTCGGCTGATGCTGCTGGCGACTTTTTCCCTGCAGTTGACGTACGCAAAAGATAGCTTCACAAGTACCTCTTCCGGGACGAAAACCATATTGGGTTTCTGGTTACAACGCTTCCGAAATAGGAATGAGTCGGTTAAGAAGCACCCTGGCAAATACTTTCCCAAGCGTAGAAAGGAGCGACATACCACGGTAGGAGTTGCAGTCAGATGTTTCACCTTTATTTTTATTTAAGGAGCAAATGCGCGACATCTTAAATACGAATGGAACTTGTTCTTCACACCATATCCGGACAAAAAGTTTCCATACCGTAGTGTATAGCTGCTCTCCTCCATACTTAAACAACTCACCAGAAATACTATCCACTCCAACCGCCCTACTATTTGGCTGCACTTGAATGACATCGATAACTTTTTGCAATGTTGGTGGCTCTTCTAACTCGGAAACTTGCGGAAGAGGCAAGACGTTGCTGATAAATCCAATGTCAGCTACTCGGTCCTTGTTAAAAATTCTATGAAGTGCTCAGCCCATCGCTTTAACACGTCTTATTTCGCTGTTAAACGCTGCTCACTACTGCGTGACTTTAACGGAACACTACTTCTATGCTTAGGCCCGACCAGTTTCCTTACTTCCGCATAAAAAGTACCGAGCTGCTTAGTATCAGAGAGCCATTGCAAATACTCTGCCAAAATAACAGCTAACTTCTCATCATTCTCATCAAACCAGTCCTCGTTAAAGCGCTTTTTCAGGCCCAAGACTTGCGTTCTTACATCAAATATATGAGAAGAGAGAGTGTTCCAATCATCTTCAAGATTACCAGTATGTATATCAAGGTGCGGGATACTTTTACTTATTACCTCAGCAAAAACATTCTGCACTTCAAGAGCTTGCAACTTCTCCACATCGAAGCTAGTAGGTCTTGCTCTACAGGCCCTCCGCGGTGGACGCAATCGGAGTTCGAGTCTAGATACCACTAGTCGATGATAGGTCCAACAGTTAGATCCACGCATGACACGACTCACTTTAACTTGGGTGATATCTTTATGTCGAACGATCACGTAGTCTATCAAATGCCAATGTTTCGACCTCGGATACATCCAGGTAGTTTTGTGCTTAGCTGGGAGACGAAAAATAGTGTTTGTTATGATCAATTCAAACTGAGCACACAGACTAAGCAGCAATTCTCCATTACAGTTCATGCTACCGACACCATGTCTACCTAGTACCTTTGGTCAAGCATCACAGTCATGGCCAACGCGCGCGTTAAAGTCTCCAAGCAGTAAGAGTTGCTCTGTTGGATGTATTTTTGTAAGCACATTGGTAAGTTCTTTATAAAATTCACCTTTAATCTCGTCATCCTTGTCCATTGTTGGCGCATAAACGCTGATCAAATTCAAGTATCTAGAATTTATCAAATGTAGACGCAAAGATATGGTACGGTTCGAGATGTATTGTGAACTCTCTTCCAATCTATTAGCAATTTGCATTCTGATTGCAAATCCAACACCAGAGCGTCTGGGTTCTGTAGCTGGTGTGCCTTTCCAGAAGAACTTATAACCGTCACCGTGTTCTTCGAGCTCGCCTTCATCTGCCAAGCGAGTTTCACTAAGCGCAGCTATATATATCTTATACCGTCCCAGTTCACGAGCTACAATTGCGGTCTTACGTTCTGGAGAGAGATTATGGGCATTATCGAGTAGGACACTTGCACTGTTTCTTCGACCACGAAGTAAGGGATGCGTAGGTAGCCGTGGTTACTACCTCCAAAATATGGGTGGAATAAGCAATTATTAGGGCACCTTTTTTAGCTCCTTCCCCGGTTGAGCAGGGGAATCAGTGCTTCCCTAAATAGGGCTGCTTCGACGCTCGGGGTGCTGCCGAATCCACGGTGTTATCCCAGATTCAGCGTAGAAACGACCATCATCACCCAAGCCGCCTGTGTGCAGACTTCAGACAAAGCCAGGAAGCATCATGACACGACCTCTCTACCTTAGTCCATCGCCACAGGACTTATGATGTCTCGGAGTCCTTATTCGAAAACAGTTATTGGCGCAGGATATATTTAGGTCCACAAATGCTCGCGCATACACAGGTGCACACACTCGTCTTCCCACTTCTTAACCCAATGGAGTGAAAACCACTACGATTGGAGAAGAGTTCAGATGATGTGTTTGGCTGACGGTCACTGTAGCTCCCTGCTATCGCCCTAGGTCTCCTTCCTCGCCGCGATATACTTCATGCTATAGACGGGAGAAATCCGTCACAAAGTCTGCCCTGATAGTAGCAGACCACCCTCATTCAGATTCATCCCGCGAGCTGACGCGGTTTACCGAGGTGGGGTTGCTGTGTGCATAACAGTTACTTGGAGCCACTGGTGAGAGATTTGTAGGGATTCACGCCATCAAATATGCTTCGTCCATTATGGTAAATAGTCGGCTGACGGATGCAAACGCTATTACCCCACTACACCCCATACAAAAAATACATAAATAATTAAAGGTCCAACCAGATGTAAGCCCTCGGCAGGGTAGATCAAACGACCGAGGGTTAGGGGGAAAGGGAAAGAAACCGGCGGTCGACGCGGGCGGTATCAAGGACCACCGCCTTCTGCATTTGAGCCCGGAGCGCTCCGTCACGGAGTCCCTGTCGCCTCAGATGACCCGAGAGGCTGACTGGGATTAGCCCATTCGCAGAGATGACTAAAGGAATAATTTCGGTCGGCAGACCACCCCACATGTCACCTCGTGAGCCAGGTCCAGATATTTTGTTCGTTTATCTGTTTCGGCTTTCACGAGGTTCTCGTCAAATGGAATGGTAATGTCGACCAAAAATATCCTTTACTGTGCCCGGTCCATCAGCACAATATCAGGCTTATTTGCAAGAATAGTCCTATCTGTGATGGTGGCCCCGTCTCAGTAGAGCCTAGCGCGGTCATATTACGAGCACGGCTTCCAGCAAGTACTTGTAATAAGGAAATTTCCGCTCCACGAGACCGTATTTCAGAGCGAGCTCCTGGTGTAGAATTCTGGCTACTAGGTTGTGTTTGTGCAACTACTCAGAGTTAGAAAGCACCAAACAACCGGAGATGACATGCCTAAGTGACTTCCCGGGATGACGACAAGTTTGAAAGATGTCGACAGTGATGTATCGCCGATAGTTGTTGGTCTTAATAAACTGATCCTGTACTGCACAGACAAAACCCTCGGTTTCCCCGAAGAGGTCACAGAAACGTAACTAGTTGAAGGAGGCGACTATATCTACGAAGGTCTCATGTAGAGCCCTGTAGTACCTCCCGTGAAGCTCCTTCTCCTTCCATATGGTTTGCCGGTCGGAAATGCTATGTACTGCCGGGTCCTGCCATTGCTCATTGGCTAAGGATAGAGGGGTAAGCCCTTTATCACTAGAAATGACGTCATTATGGAATGGATTATCCGATCTCGCCAGGAAGTAATGACAGAGGCTGCACACTTCGTGATTAAGCATAGTGAGCGCGCTTAGGAAGCCACGCCCGCCATGCTTTCGCGGCAAGTATAGCCTCATTACCGACGATCTCGGATGATGCAGTCTATGGGACGTCATGTTAGTGCGGACTTTACTATCCAGGGCGTTAAGTTCAGTCTGAGTCCACCTAAGTATGCCAAAGGTATACATGAGGACAGGCATGACCCAGCCATTATATGCGTGTGTCTTATTAACAACGGACAAAAGGCTGTTAAGCACTTTGGTCAAGCGTGCATAAAACACATCCCAAACCGACTGTTTCGTACCAGCCTCATCGATACCGATGTTCTGTGACATACCCAGATATCGGTATGTTTCAGCCTCTGAAAGGGTACTTAAGTTGACGGGAATAGAAAGAAAGAAAGAAAGAAATGCAATTTATTCCAGTTTAAGCATGCAGCATAACAAGTAAAAAGTAGTTAAATGCCAAAAGATAAATATAACTAAATTAAAAGTAATTTAATATTATTATAAATTTAAGAAAATCTTTTAAGAATAGCCTGTGCTGCAGCATGAAACCGTGAAACGGACCGGACTCAGTGATAGCACTAGTATTCAGTCCAGCCCTTACCCAGAAGCAGCTCGGGCGGCTGAGTGCACGCTCGCTCTTGATGTCCGAAAATTCCTAATATATAATATACATATACATGTGCATACCCATATTCATACTAAATTGGACTGAAAGTATAATTTGCCGTTTTTTTTTCAAAAAGGATACGTATAGAAGCAATATCTACAGTTTTGTATTAGTAAAAAAAATGATATAATAACTAAGGTAAATACAAGCAACTTGTATAAGGATTTTTAAATTATTTTAAAAGAAAGAAAATAAAAAAAAACGAAACAAATAGGCTACCCAAATTATATGCTTAGTTTCATTGTTGGTATATTTACATAGATAAGTCTATGCTCTAATAGTTAGCAATATTCCCTTTTCACCATGGAGGACCGCACACTTATCCGTCACAAGCGCCATTATAATGCTAAATGCTAAATTCACATGTGATGTTTAGCAATTCCATAAGATGAGAGCGACTGGAGGCGAATAACTTGAGGTCATCCATATAGAAAAGGTGGGTCATTTTTGTACCTCCTTTCCGAAGCTAAAATCCCTTCCCGGAGACCTCCAGTAAAGTAGCGAGAGGGTTCAAACAGAGACAAAACCAGATTGGACTCAGGCAGTCGCCCTGGAAAATACCCATTCTTAACCTTATGCGGCTTTCCGCAGCCGTCATCCGCTCACCCAGATGAAAAAGGATCGTACTCCACTGCCCCATACACTGCTCAAGGAAATCTCTAACTGTACAGTCATTCTTGTACAGTTCCAGGACACTCTTTAGCCATGTATGGGGCACCGAGTCGAACGCCTCTCTCTAGTCTATCCAGGCAACGGAGAAGTTCCTACGGTTGCGTTTCACCACTTTGCCAGGTGAATTAATAGTTGTTCCTTGGTTCCGCGCGATATCACCTGATTTAGCTCCAGGTGACGATTGATTCTAGAGCTCAAAATGGATGTAAGTGTCCTATATATGGTGGGTAGACACGTGATGGGGCGGTATTTGCTCGGGTCTGTGGTATGTTATATGTATGTGGAGTGATTCCAGTAGTGAAGAGGCTCGGGAGCGACCTCTGGTCGAGAGCCTCTTGAAAATATCGGACGAATACAGTGTGACACACTAAAAACCCCTTCAGCCAGTAATGATGCAGCCCGTCGAGCCTGGGACCTTTCCAGTTCGCGGCCCTACGGACCGCTTCAGCCACTTCTTCCGGCGTTGTGGTATATTATTACCTGACCTGAAGCTTGTCAGTCTGCCAATAAGGGCACTTACCTTTGCGACATGGTCCTCGGCTTTTTTTCCCAGGCTGTGATGGTGCTACTTTGTCTATTAGCGTGTCCAGCCATGGGAAGTAATACGGCAAAATCCGTCGAGTCCGTCTCGCAAAGATCCCGGCTGGTTTTCAAATAGGTCACCAGAGTTGGATTAAGAGTCCTCACGACAGCCCGATTTCGCTTGCTTAGGAGTATGCGGGGAAGTTGCGGTCGATTTTCGAAAGGCATGCTTCGCGTTTGCAAAATCGCCTCTTCCAAGATGCTCCTCATTTTCTCTAGTTCGTGGAAGATTATTTCATCATCGTCCGAACCAACCAAAATCGGAAGATACATGGCGGCTTTTACGTGTGGATGCTGGTCTATCGCCTGTGGAGCCGCATCCTCAGCCATAGCCGATTTATTCGATGAGGAAATAGCCTCACGTCGTAGTCGTTCGAGTTCGGCATCATCAAATATTTTCGAGCGCATGATGTACCAAACTCGGTCTTCCAGATTTTTTTATGTGACGGGAATTGACGGCTCCAGCTCAGCAAAAAAGCAATGCATCCGAGCCCTATACGTTATTCCGCAGTTTCTTCCCCTTTCGCCCTATAGTACGCCGGCAATGCGTTTTCGTTCATAGTTTTTGTCCAACGCATGCGACGTGTTCCACCAGCGGCGAGTGGCTTGCTGAATCCGAGAAGACCCAACTGACATCAAGCTTTCTGGTGGGGATGATGGATGCGGGGGCTGCTAGATGATCGTGCAGCTCCTCGCGCTAGGTTAGCGGTCCGCATTCTGCTGCATCCAGCGTCAGCTCCAAACGCGCCCCGGTTACCCCCAGGCAGCGGCCTACTATTCTTTGTGCAATCATTCATTTTATGGGCGCCAAATAACTGAAGACGCCCAAACCCGGCACCATTTTGTGGTTTGGTCATTTGTACAAACGGACTTTTGCACCCACAATTTTTCCTAGGCACGGCGCTCACACCTCTTGGCAAGGCGCTGACTGACTGTACCGACGTAGCAGTTTTATCACATAACTGTTACGTCAGCGGGCGATGGAGTCGTCACTTCCCGACGCCTTATTATTATTATTATTGGAACTCGTAGATCCTTAAATCTTAAACACAATATGCATTACAAGACATAACAGAACTGACGACGTTCCAAAGGGTTTCATGTTAGCTCCAGTCGATGACGGCTTCCCAGATTAACCAAGGTTGTTTACAATTTGTTGTATGCGGACTTGTATTCAACGACATTTCTGTGGACTTCGCATATAGCTTTGTTGGAAAGGTCGCAACAAAACTTATATAAGTGATAAAACTTTTGAAAAAATTAAATAAACATGGAATAAAAATTGTTAATTATTAACGTGTCGAATATATTCCATAGTTTCTTGGATATTAACAAAAAAAAAGGAAAAGTATGATGAATTAGTCAAGATATTCATACACGTTTTAATCAAAATATTTAATGAGACAGAGTTCAAGGTGTTTATCGAGCAAAGTTTGAGAGCAGAATGACAAAAAAAGGATTATGACTTATATATAATTGTAACAATGAAAACAAAACTTATTCTTATGAACGTCAGCATAATTTGTTCCACAGAATCTTATTACGTATTTTAAAATATTCAATATAATTTCTAAAGTTAGTAGGAGACAACAGAAAACAAAGGGTTTCGTATAACTTATTCTCATAAACGTCAGCATAATATATTCTAGTACCTATCATTATGTACATATTTTGCAATATTTTATACACTTGTAAAGTAAATGTTGAGTTATACTGTTCAACTTGTTTCTTTGTTTTGCCTTTGCCCGATAAAGCGTATATCTACAGAGTGAGTAACCTTAGCTCCTCCCACTTTAAGAGAGAAATCAACTGTAGACAAATCTTTTGGTGACAGATGATTTCTAATGTTTTAATAATAGTCCCGTGACTATTCTATGACTATTCTGAATCAATGCTGCACTTATCCTTATCAGCGCTATTCCAAAATTCTAATTTATATCCTTCAGTTTTAACCTGATTGTTGGTTCCGCTAGGGCCAAGAGCATCAAAACTGCTTGCCACTTTCATATTTATTTTTCTCAACTTTTCCGGTACAACAATCCTATCTAATTTCTCCATAACTTTTGCTTTCTCGTATCGTTGGACTTCTTTAACCTTTCGATTCCTGGTAGTTTCATGAAAATTTCGTAAACTTTCATTATTCCTGGCGGTTTTTCACCTTCTGTCCTTTCTACAACTTTACATTTATTTTCTTTTTTCTTATTATTAATTCTTTTACATTATATTCTTGTTATTAATTTCTGTAGAAGATTTTTGTGATAATGTCATTGTGTTCTACCACAATTGTAACACGGACGTTCAGGTGGGTCAATATGACCCGTATGTAAAATTTGATATTTCCGTGTTTATTCAAATTTTCGGTAATCTATATTCCTGCATGATCTATTTGTACTCTGAACTTATAAATAAAGGAATAAACTTTATAGTTATCAAATGTTTATTCTTGGTTTTTAAGCATTTCCATAAACTCACAAAAACGTTTACAAAATTGAGATCCCTTACAGTGTCAGCACTTATCTAAAAAATTACCAATCTTTGTGATTACAAATGACACTTAGAATATATTCTACTAATAATTCTTTTAAAATAAGTTTAAAAAAGTTAATTTGAATCGTCATTGTTTATACAATCACCGCAGAAAGATACGTTGCTTTACGGTTTTTTTGTGCAGGGCACACTTTACATCTTCTTCGAGCAAAAGATATCTTTGCAAGAGGCTCTTCTGATGATTCGCCAACAATTTTTTTAGTTATTTTACGCATTTCTCGTGGCTAACGATCTAAATTCTGGCGCCTTTTCAAGTGATCGCTCACTAAAACCAGACCCATGCTTTTCAAGAAATGTCGTCGCTTTTCTTTAGGTTTATTATTATTTATTCAGTGTATTATAGTACCGTTAATCCCTGACATATTCAATTTAGCATACAAAATGATAAGGGGCCATCTCTTGAAATTACGGCTCACGTTATATGTTGCGCAGAGATCATCGTTGACATTCACTTCAAACTCATAAGTAGCACACTTAGCTTCTCGTGTCACACCTGATAACAGTGTTATTATATTTTATGCTTTCGTCCTCACATTGTACCGAAAAGGCGTTTTAAACTAAGCTGTCCTATGCTTACCATGATATTGTAGACGTACCCCACGCCATAAAGAGGTTTCTGGCTCTTGTTGCAGCGCATACGCACTGGATTACAACTCCATTCTATTTTCCCTCAGCTGGACATTATCGTCATCACTTTCTGAGCTTTCTTGTTCCGTATCGATTGCCTGACTACAAATATTCACGTGATCCTCTTTATCCGCGTAATCGTTATCGGACAAGTTTTTGTCTAAGTCCGATTCCTCAAGAATTGACAAAATACTTTGACTATCTCGATCCATGTTACCTTAAAAAAGTAAATGAAATATTGGTTATGACAAAAATTAACATAAAACGCAAAAGCTACTCAATTTATTACCGTCAAATAAAATTTAATAATAAAAATCTAAAGTTAAAAGAGGCGCGAAACTGTTACGTCAATTGTGAGGATGGGTCATATTTACCTTTTAGAGAATTATGCACTTATAGCTCCCAGAGCGGCTGTCCCCCGACTGATTTTTGTTTTAAATATGCATTTTTAAACAGAAATCAGAACATATCTTTGACGTCAGCTACTGAAAAAAATGGCAACGTCGCACGCGTACTTACAAAAATATATGCATTTTAAAACACGCAGGGTCATTTTGACCTTTCGTCATTTCAACCTCAATGACGCCGGGTTAATGTATTTCCTGATTCCTTATGCCCGAATATCATTTCAGAAGGAGTGAAAGTTGTAATTAGTTTACTACTGGTTGGGTACTAACAACTTTAAAGTTTTCGTTTCGCTTAAGGTGCCTAATATATTGATTCGCTCTTTGGGCTCAAAAACGACCGTTGACTTCCGGTATCAACCATAAGAATTGCGCTACGTTCAGGTAAACGTATGTGCGGAAGATTTAATATGCTTCAATCTAATTTTGTTTGCTCTTATGTAAAGCCCTTATGCAAAAATTTCCTTCTTGTTCGTTCTGATTGGAACTGTTTTAAAGCACATTAACAATAATCGGCTTATAACCTTGTAAAACCACTTTGATTTCCACCGGTCCGGTCAAAATTCGTTGATTCGTTCGTGCGATATCGTTAACTAAATATTTTGAAAAAATTGATTTGTTTAAATTACTCCGATATTTCATATTCATCGTCATAATTTGGTGCGCTTTGTATTTGAAATTAGCGCCAAATTTCAGGAATGGCCTAGAGGGTCAACCAATTTTTTTATTATGTGCTATGCAGGTCTAGAGAGAGAGAGACTGCAACCCAAAAGACCTATTGTAATCGCTACTATAGCTATAGTTCACCGCTAATCCCTAAATCTTCAATTAATAGAAGGATTTGTTTAACGGTGAGCAATTTCACTTTTTCTGGGCTGAGTACATAGTTTCCCATATGAGTGTTACGTTTGCGTATTTAGGGAGCGCAATCAGTTAGGTTGTGTTAAGAGACGTTTCATCCGTGGAACAAAACCAGCACATGCTTGAGTTGCTTAGTCCCAGGTTGGACAGGTAGGACATGGACATGTATTTTTAAGACAACAGTTTCAATCTCAGGGCTTCTGAAGCGAATTTAAGATCAAAAACTCGGATTAAGGTTTAAGAATGCCTTAAGTCAGGTGTGTTAAACCAGATCTTAAGTGATTTTTGTGATAGTTTCAAGGGTCAATCAGGGTACAATTTTTCACATTCCACAAAATGACTCGGGCCAAAATTGTGTACTCTTTGTGTCCTCCCGTGTGAGCTCGTCAGCAAGTTCTTTGCTTATAATACCTGCGTGATCCAGAAACCATCTAACATTACCCTATTGTTACATCCCAGGACGCTTAGACGGTAAACGCAGTCTCCAACTAGCTTCAAGTTCACCAACTTTGACCTCTGTGCTAGCAGTGCTGCTTGGCTATCGGAATTTATATATAGACTATGTGTATGTGCCTAAATTATTACTAAATTTGAATTTAGGGCGTTCTCCATAAACTTCAAAGTCTACACCGAGCACCATTTTTGACCCATCGGTATTCCATATAAGGCTACCGACCTCACAAATGACCTAGCTTTTCAGCCAGTCATCTCTGAAGCGTAGTTTTTACTTCGGGCAGTTATTATCAAAAGTATAGTAGTGTATCTTGCTTAATGGTATATGCTTGTCTATTGACTATTATTTTTCCTTATTTCATTTTTTAAACCGCAAATATATGGTTATTATTTTTCATAATAATATCTAAAACCTAAAATAGTGAATACGTGAAAAAACAAATCATGACCCGAAAATATATAAAATCTTAGGTAATTCTGAATGATCAACATCAGCACGTTACATTAAGCGATACATTTAATGATGAATTTAATGATGGTCGAATCTGCAATCAACGTCACTATCCTAATACAAATGGACATATTTTAATAACAGTAAAGTTTACGTTCCTTACAAAATGTATAGTTACGGCGCTATTAATGTGAAGCGTAAAACGAAAGGATTTTGTTGAAACGAAACTGTAATTGATTTTTTAATGTTCAAATGAACGGCCAAAAGTTTTATGGGTTTGTAGGGGAATGCAACATTTTAATGAAGTGAATTTATTGTAACAATAAAACTGAGTTAAGTTAAATTTTAAACGTTAATTATGAAATAAATAATATAATTGGTATATACCAAAAAGTATATAAAACGTATACGGTCAGTTAACTGACGACCAAATATGCATTTGTGTGAAGTACACGAAGGAGGTGTATTATGATTGTGCAAAATAGAAGTATACAGTCTTTGTCCATCACTCGGTAAAAGAGTTTTTGTTATTTCATGTCATGTTTGTAGACACTGAAGTTAAGTTATTAATAAATTATATATTTAAAGACAAAAACGGCATATTTTAACGTGATTGAGTCAGCTTTTTATATTTTTTTTTTTATATATATATATATATATCTGCAGGTAAATCATAAGCAACAACACGAATGGGTGATACAATATACTGTTACGAGCTTGAGGTTCGTGACAATAAAAACTGCCGATTGAATTACCAAAATTCACAGTTTTATTACCGAACATCGAAAACTTAAAAAAAAACTAATAATTAATCACACTGATTCACTTTATTTCGCTCTGAAGCTTCGCTTATCTTGCCAAATTCAATACTGCCCCGATCACGGCTTGCAGCGGCTTTAAATACACCTTTTCCACCGAAACATCCAGAATATTCCAGCAAATACGGGCAACGACCGACCAGGCGCAGAAAGTTCGAGAGTGCACCCTTCTAGAAGGTTTAATTCTTCTGTTCGATACTAGACGGCGCTGTTGGTGGAAAGTTCAAGATTGGAATTTTCTAGGAAGCCCTCCTAGCTCTTTTCCCCGACACTAGATGTCGCTAGTGACAGGTGCCAGACATCAACTTAGGCGCGCAACAATATTGTCGCTTTGTCGTATGATGAGTGATACGAACCAGGTATGTACTTGCAGGTAACAAAACTTTATTTCTTACTTCTTAGTGGTGACAATGCATTTGCATTTTTTACCTTAATCGGGGATAAAATGTAGGTGTCTATGGGCCACATCCTTCAGTCACCTTAGGATACTATGCGCTCGTTTGTCACTTTTACATCTCTAAAAAGTTTTATTATAAAGTAAATTTTTGACGAAAACCAATTATATATATATATATATATATATATTTTGAATTTATGGGCTACAACGGATACCATTAGGTGGACTGGGTCAGACTTATTCTTTAAAAAAACACTGTTTAATACAGGCCTCCTCTCATCTCAAAAAGAGACTTGGAATATTTATTTAAACTTAGTACTTATTTTTAAACATAACATAATAAATATAAACACTCACGCCTGTCACCCAGAGGGGTAGGTAGAGACTATAGACTTCCATTTGGCACGATCGTGACAGACCTCTCTCGCCTCCTTCACATGCATATACCTACGCGTACATGCTCGTCGGTTAAGGGTACTCCTAATTTGGCCCGTTTTCAATAAATCGCTAATTTGGTCGATAAATTTTCGCCTAGGACGTCCCTTTCCGTCTCTGCCGTTCACTTCTGCAGCATAAATTTTCTTTGTTACTCTTTCCTCATTCATTCTTTCCACATGATCAAACCACCGAAGCATCCCTTTCTTAATCCTAGTCACAACATCATCTTGCAAACTTGTAAATTAGCGTAATGCTTCTTTGTTTCGTATGGTGAGTGTAGAAAACCGGAGACTCTTTTTGCTGGAATCGAGGCATTCCATCTTAGTCCTCAGGAGTGACAACACTTTTCCATTTTCATTCTTAATTGAGGATAAATGTGGATGTTTATGGGCCAAAGTATCCAATTACCTTCAGGTAGACTGTGTGCTCGTTTGTTACCCAATGCTATAAAAAATCATCAAAAATTACTTCAAAAATATTATGATATACAAGTAAACCGATATTTAAAAAAATAACTAACAACGTTTTCTAATCTATGACGGATGTACTCTAAATCTCTAAAATAATAATAGCGTATCAAATTAACATGACAACCTTTTATTAATAGAAAAAGTATAAAACAACTACAAGTTATAACGTGGGCGTGATTTGTTGCTTCTAATAACAGTAGGTTAGGAGGCGTCTCGGGTAAAGATTGTCTGGGTGAGACGATACCGTACAGAATTAAATGTTATAAATGTATTAACGTGGTGTTGAAAATGCACACGAGAATTTTGAATTGCATAAGAGAGAAAGAAATGGAACAAGACACTTTATTTAGCATTACGAAACCATTTTCACCACTATTTCCAGTCACTAATATGGAGTTTTATAAATTGAAATCAGGTTTTTATGCTATTTTTTTTTTCAAATAGAGGCAGATAATACAGTTGGAATACCTTGTCTCCAACTTTTGTAAGGATTTTTCGGTCAGATTCATCTGCAGTCTGTAAACATATACATGATTGTACCCGTCTTTAAATCAGATTTGATAGACTTATTTTTCTTTGCATGACTGTGTAGTGGCAGTGGAAAAATATCCATCATCCCATAACAGTGTTATAAAAGGCAATGGAGTAAGTCAAACAAAAAGATGGACAGTGATAAAAAACTGTGGTTCCCAACCCGCCTACCAATCGCGGCGACTATTGCAAATATCTCCCCTTTGAGGCAATCTATGGGTAGGCATATGTTTAGCAGTATAATTTTGATAGGCTTTAACTCTTACGCTAAATATTTGCAAAAATACAGTCAACTTAATCACTATTTTCTGCTTGAATTCATATACAAAATTAAATTTCAATACAAAAGATATGCCTTTAAGCATCTATTAAATTTTGTGTAGATCAAACAAAAATGTATAGTTTAGTGCTGAACATAGTGGGGGCCAACTTTGATATTGTTTCCTAACCAACTCACTCCACCCAAGATCATGGGTGCTGCAAGTACGCGAAACGTTAAAAAAATCCTAATTTTTCATGTGTTGTATACGCGTAAATACATATCTTTAAACAATATGCCATAAAACAAAACTTTTTATGTGAGGACATTCGAGAAATGCTAGCGTTTCGTGAGCAAGTAACAACATCACACCAATGAACTCAATCCTTGTAAAGCTGAGGGCCGACATATTTTATGCAGAATAACTATAATCCTCACACAGTTACTATACGCCTGAACCGAATAAGATTT